GGGAACTCTTATAGCGGCTTTCGTATACTTTGGGAACGCATGGTGGCTAATGGAACAATCCCCAACATTGCGACACATCCTCCGATACCGTGTGGACTTGCCCGGGCGATCACGTCTTCTACGATGCGTCAGTGATTTGGGGCTTGATCGGCCCGCGAAAGATTTTCGGGGACCAAGGAACTTACGGAATGGTCAATTGGTTCTTCCTTGGGGGGGGCCGTGGCCCCCCTACTAGTATGGTTGGCCACGAAGGCCTTCCCGAACCAGGAGTGGATCCGACTGATCAACATGCCGGTCTTGATAGGGGCTACCGGCTCGATGCCGCCCGCAACCGCCGTGAATTACACGACGTGGATTATCGTGGGGTTTTTGTCGGGGTTTGTTGTGTATAGATATAGGCCCGATTTGTGGGGCCGGTATAACTACGTGTTGTCGGGGGCGTTGGATGCGGGGCTTGCGTTCATGGGGGTGGTTTTGTACATGTGTTTGGGGGTGGAGAATATTGGTGTGGATTGGTGGGGGAATAATCTTGATGGCTGCACTTATGCTTCTTGCCCTACGGCTAAAGGGGTGGTGTTTGAAGGATGCCCCGTCGTGTCTTAGTTGCGCCGAAAGAAAATTCAATCAAGAATTATTTGTGCTGGATTTGTGGTTTCTCAAGAAACAAAAAAAATATATAATTATGATACTGTGCATAATTCATTATTGTACATGTATTTTTAGCAGATTTGAATATTTGATCATGGTTGCAAAATTGTGTTTACAGATTTCACTCTCGGGAAGGCAGCGGAAAATTAGAAATTTGAACACATATTCTGTTATTGTAGTTTTTTATCTTTTAAGTCTGTTTTTATTTGCATAGAGAATTAGTTTATACAGTCGTACAAATTAGGGATGTAAATGAGCTCGATGAACTGGCTCGACAAAAGCTTGCGCTCAAGCTTAAGTCCATCTTTAACTGTTCATAAGCTCACTAGCTTTTGTGTATATATTATTAATATAAAAATAACTAATATATAACAATAAAATATGTAATCATAAATATATATACATATATACCCTCTCTA